CTCTCCTCTCCTCTCCTCATTTTCATATGGATGTGGACAAGAAGGCTTGGAGAATGAAAAAGACAGAACAATACTCATAATTAATTCAAGTTCATGATTGGAAATATTTCAAAAGAATGCACAAAAAGAAAACTTCAGAGCAAATTAGTGATTCTTTACAATGGAAATTATGAGATTAATGGAAGAAAAGAAAACTAAAATCAGTATACCTGTTCTTAATGGGTGCATGTAGAATATATCTCACTGCAGAGTCTAGAAATGCTAGGAGTACTCCGAAAGCACTCTTAGTTTCTCTATGGGAATACAGTTGCTTGATAAGAGAACTTCTTCCAACTCATGGAAGAAGCTGCAGTCATTATAATTTGCTAAATTTCCTGAGATATCCACAGATTCCTAAAATGGTAAAATTTTCCAGATTCCAGATGAAATGTAAAATCCAAGCATGTATTGAGGGTATGGATATTTATATAAATACACTTGCATATACATACAATCATATCTATATTCTAAATAAAATAAATGAATATAATTCTTATATGTTAGAAAATCTGGTGAACTTTTCACATTGAATGCATGAGTTAACTAAGCCAAAAGATGAGGACTTTTTCTTTGTAATTTATTGAACTGAGGAATTTACGCTAAACTCTTTCAAAATAAATAAAATCCTGCTAAGTATCATGCATGTTAGTAACTTTGAAGATGATAAACAAACTGGAAACTCCTTAAAGAATGAGAAACTAGAATACATTTCTAGGTATGTTACCAGATGAGATTCCTTATGTAAGAAATGAATGCAGGAGGTTGCTATTTTCCACTTTTCTTCCTCTTAAATTGGCTTCTGCTGTCATATGTGCAAACAATCTAAGCAATCTTTTGCTATGGATAATACTTAATATTAGGACGTTAAGAACCTGCATAAAATTTAGCAAGGTTACAGACGAAAAAAATGAACAATGCAATTAATCATGCAACTTATAAAACAGGATTTTTCATATTTCCACTGTGCAATCAATAAGATTTCACCAAATTTTCCCCTTAAAAATACTTCTAGCCCTAAGAATATTCAATTCAACTCCTAATATAATAATATAATGAGGAATATACAGCCACAAATATCTCATCTTCATCTACACAAAGCTTACATGTCTTGCTTTGTAATTCTGCACACTGGTCATACTTTCAGTGTAAATTCAGAAGGTAAAAGCCTTTTGTTCTTAAATCCTCCGTAATCTTGTAAATATAGAAAATAATAGTATTTGGAATTTATTTTTCCTTTTATTATTGAGTAAGTAAAAGGGATTCAACCCCTTACAATTAAAACTGTGGTCTAATTTTGGGGTGGAACCTCCATTCAGGCTTAAATTGCCATTTTAAGTGTTACTATGAGCCTAACAATTGATTGCAAATGAAACAAGAATAAACCACTTTTGGCAGATTCTGCTGTTGTTTTTCCTGCTGGCTTTTGTTCCAGCTTTTATTTTCCATGGGAAAATTTTCATATTGAGAATACCGAGAGGGCCAAATCTTTTAAGACATCCCCTAAGTGCACACACAATTAGATATCCTATGCTCATGTAATTACTCCAGTAGTTATTTAGACAACTCACAATTGCCTGATTTGAGTACACAGTTGGAGCATGTGCCAAAGGCAGGTGCATACTTTTTCTTTTTTTTTTTTTTAATTTAACAGTAGCACAAATCTACAGGTTTAATTCTTTACATTACCCCTTCACCTCCCGAGAGAATGCTACTTATGCACATGTTCTTATATGGAATTCACTGCATTACAAAAGCAGAAAAGATGTATTTCCACATGTTTATAGTGGACTGGTCACTGTGATATATGCAGACTGACTGTAGATGGCTGTATGATTTCTAAATCAAATGCTGTGCCCTGTATTGAAAAAAAACACAATTTCTTAACTGAGCTGTTAAGTATTCAAAGCATATTTTACTAGACAAGAATTAGATGTTTGACTGCTTTTGTTTTTCTTAATCTGCTCCAACATAAAACAAACGTGAGGAGTGAAAACAGAAAATCATGGTATCAAACGCAAACTGAAACAACCTGACTGAAATTAATATACATAATGACATTAATGACATACCAGAAGATCCTCATTTCTTCAGGTTTATTGTTTTTGGTGATTGTTGTTTTTTGTTTTTTTTTTTTTTTTTTTTGGGTTTTTGGTTTTTTTTTTTTTTTTTTTTTTTTTTGTGTTTTTTTTTTTTTTTTTTTTTTGCCTGTGCTTTTAAATCTGCAATCTTTTAACTTTAAATTCCTCTTTCTACTTTAAACATTCTGTTGTAGCAAAAATTTCAGTGCACTGATGTAAAACACTACCATCAGCAGGGTGGAACCTACTTTGGTCTCTCTTTTTTCTTAACATCTGGGAATCAAAGACATCTGTAGACTGGCATGGAGATCTCCTTTCAAAGTATATTTGGCAAAGCCACATGGACGTGTTGATTATATTGCCCTAAAACAGCCCACAAAGCATTAAAGCTTTTTTCTCTGGAAATCAGGAGTATTGCAAGTAATGTCATCAGAGATGAGACACAACACTTCCATTCTTCACATGATTACTACTAACTTACTAAGTTTTATTTTAGTTTCATATTTTGAGGTACATCTCAGATAGACTGATCCTTCCTATGCTGTCCATGCTGTCAAACTGCGAATTTTAGGCTCATTTTTCCTAGATTGAGACAGAAGTAATAAAACCACTTTAGCTAGTGTTGGATTATGGGCTATGTCTCTACTTTGTCCTTTTTGTCCTATACTACATCTCCAAAAGCTTAGGTATCCATTACACTATCAGGTCCAGTCAGAAAATACAAAATTGTGGCAAACAGCAACTTAGGGCATATTGTATTTTTGGACAGTTGTATAAATGTGCAAGGTCTTGTATTTTGGTCAAAACAAGCCCATGCATGAGGATTGGAGCAGTGGCTGGAAAGCTGTACAGAGGAAAAGACTCCATGAGTGTTGGTTCTCACTTGGCTCAACATGAATCAGCAGTGTGCCCAGGTGGCCAAGAAGGCCAACGGCATCCTGGCTTGTATCTGAAGTAGTGCAGTCAGCAGGAACAGCAAAGCAATCGTTTCTGTGTGTTCTAGTGAATCTGCACCTTGGGTACTGTGTTCACTTTTGGGTTCCTTTCTATAAAAAAAGACAGTGAGACCCTGGAGCTTGTCCAGAGAAGGGCAACCAAGCTGGTGAGGGGTCTGGACCACAAGTCTTATGGGGAGCAGCTGAGGAAACTTGTTCAGCCTGGAGAAAAGGCGGCTCAGGGGAAATATTTCTCTCTGTAACTTCCTGAAAGAAGGTTGTAGGGAGGTGAGTGTTGACCTCTTCTCCCAGGTAATGGTGATAGGACGAGAGATTATTGCTTCAAGTTGTGCAGGATGTTCAGGGCAGATGGAAAAATTTCTACTCAGAAATAATGGTGAGGCATTGGAACAAGCTGCCCAGATGGTGGTGGAGTCACTGTCCTTGGAAGCTTTCAAGAACTGTGTAGATGTGTCACTCTGGGACATGGTTAGTGGGCATGGCAGAGATGGGTCAACAGTTGGACTGGATGATCTTAGTGGTCTTTTCCAACACTAATAATTCTATGATAAATATGTATGGTACAGCTCTTCTGGCAAGTAAAACAAACCCTCCGGTGCTAAGTGGTCTTCTAAAATAGCTCACATGCTTTTAGAACTTATAATGAATGCCCAAGCAGTGCTCAAGCAGCATCCTTGGCAGCAGCAGGCCCCTGTCACCAGGCAGGAAGCGCCCAGTCAGCCTGGGTGCCAGCAAACACAGCTCAACACATCATTTATAATGTTACAGCACTGCGCTGGTTTGTGACATTCATGTCCACCTTCTGTGAGAAAGTTTTCTGAGTAGTGTGAACCCAGCTAGCTGCTTCAAGGGAGAGCTGCACTGAATTCATTTCAAACTACCTCAGTACAAGCCACTCCAGGTATGATTTATGTACATAACTGGGCATCCTTAGAAAGCGAACGGCACAAGAAAAAAAAAAATAGAAAAGAAAAAAAGGATAACCACCTAATCTCAACAGATCCCAGCGCCTCATTCTGCTGCTGCTGCCTCCGAGGGCTGGCGAGGACAGGGTGGGAACGGAGCTTGCACCACTGCCCAAGCCGAAGCCCGAGCCGACCCGACCCGTCCTCCTCCGCACAGCCAGACCGCCACATTGCCGGTGCCACTCAGCCCCAGTGCCGTGCAGGGAGCGGAGATCAGGGAGCTAGACCCAGGAGCAGACAGCCGCGACCACGACCGCCGCGGCCTCACCGCCGCCTTGCGCGCCTGCGCGCAGGGAGAGAAGGGGAGGGTGAGGGTGGGAGGCGGTGCTATCACGCGTCTCCGCGTGCGGACAGGGAGCCCTTCCCCTTCCCTTCTCTTCCTTTCCCTTCCCCGGGCCTCCCCCAACGCCTCCCCCTGCCCCGCGTCCCTCGCAGGGCGCCGGGCCGGCGCGGGGGTCTGCGAGCAGCGCAGGGAGGGAGGGAGGCGGGGAGGGAGCGGGGAGAGAGAGAGGGAGAGAAAGAGAGAGAGGCTGAGCCAGATCTTCATGCCACTGCAGGCAGCAGCAGCAGCAGGTAAAACCAGCCCCGGAGCATCTGCTCCCTTCACCCGCTTACCCCCCTCCCCGCCGGCCGCCCCGCAGTCAAAGTGCGCCGGCCCCCGCCGGGCCTCTCCCAGCGGCGCCGCCCCGTCCCGCCGCCCCTGGCCGTCGGCGCGCAGCGCTGGGGCTGGTGAGGCCTGCGTGCAGCGGGTGCCGCAGGCCGCTGCCCGGCCTCCTCCCGCTGCTTCCCGCGGGGCCGCCTCCTCCGGGCCCGGCGGAGAGCAGGTGCTCCCGGTAGGGACCGCTGAAGCCAGAGCCTCAGTTCTGGGAGGTGGAAGCAGGGAGGGAGGAGGAGGAAGCAGATGGTCATAAGGTTGTCCCCCTCTGGATTTTTTTTTTTTTTCCTTTCCATTGTTGTCGGTGGTAATTCTGATGGCTGAAGAGGGAAGAGTTAAGGTCGAAGTGATTTTTCTTTTCCCAGGCCTTGACAAAGAGTTTTTGGAAAACGCCAGGTTTCCCTCCACTTTCTTGACCCTGGTGACTGTCTTTCCTTTCCTTCCCACCCATCTGACCCCAGTCTGTGCTGACTGCCCAATTTATTGCCTACAGAGTGACAGTTTTAGACTTACTAATTGCCACATTTGGTTATCTTTATGTTACGGTAGTTCAAGCAGTGTAGTCAGTATGGATTTCAGTGCAAGGGCTGCAGTTGGCACATTTTAGTTGTTGGAAGGTTTCATCCTCTTAGGTTGCTGTACCATACCCATCAGTTGTGTAGTGTAGGTACATATCCTATGGTGTTATTCATCCTGGGGGCTTCATGGTTTGCTTTTAAGGAATAGTTGTCCCATCACACTGACAGAACATTGCTTTAAGTGGTACATATGACTTGAAATACTTAACAAACAAGAAGAATGTTAGTTGATATGTGAAAGGCTCGTATTCCAAAGCATACTAGATTGGGTATCAGGAGTCAAGAATGGTCTTCTAGTTTTGCCATGCAGCCATACAACATCCTTTTGCTGCTTTATTGCTAGCAATCCTTCTTATTTGCCCTTACCGAGTACTCTGCAAGTTGGTTTAAAAGCACAACTATCCTCATACCAATGTAAGTTCATTGAAGTTTATCAATTCTGTTGTTTGCCACACTTTCATTCAGTGATAGCATCTCTGTGAAAACGAAACCTTCCACAGTGTATCCCAAATAAATATGGGCTGTTTATTGGAATTGAAAATATTTTTTGAAAAGTCGAAGGTAATAAAACACACAGATAAATTAATCCCAGATCCCACCTATCTCAGAATCATTGCTCACTACTTACTTTGTAGCTCAATCCAACAGGCAGTCCTAAAGCTGGGCAGTAATAACAGTGTATCATTTTGGGGCAACAATGTTTCTTCTTTTGGAAACCAGTCCTTGTTTTGTAATAGTTGACAGCCTTAATGTTACCATGAATAACAAATTGCCAAAATTCTTGTTTATTGACATGTGTGGCCTGTTCATATCACATTCATAAATATAATGGGAGTGATTACTGGACTAGGTGCAATTTGTGCAATTTAGGTTTTGTAATGCATTCTGACACATCTGATAAAAACAGAACTAGACACAGACCAGCCCAAAGAAATTGGTGAGTTTTTAAACTTACGTGAAGTTCATAACATTGTTGATCCATCAACAGGAACTTACCCCTGCATGATTTGCACACCTTCATTATGAACTTCAGCTCATAACAATGTATGAGATGACAAACAACTCCTCTTTTTACATACAAACGTATATTGGGAAGGAGGTGCATGGTTGATCTTCCCCCACATTCCCTCCAATTTTATGATAGCTTAATTTGTAGAAATTGTTGATATAGTCAACTCCCATACAGGCTGAACATTTCAAAAGATACTGGTGGCATCCTTTTATTAGTGAGGTGAAGAGTCAGGAGGATGTTCTCCAGCTTGGTGAATAGCAATGACAACGAAGTAAGGGCTTGTACTGGTGCTAGCATTCAAGAATTAGTAACACTGGTGGGATTGTTGTTTGTTTTGCTTTGTTTCACCTGAGGGAAATCACAAGCCCAATTTTATACAAGTGATTTTCAGATTGTGCTGCAGTGTTAGCAAAGCTCACTTGTCACACAAAAGATGGTCATACCTTCCCTTAAAATACCATTGCACCTGCAAGAGTGACACAGCCTTGTAAAAACATTCCTCTCACATTTGTCCTTTGTGTTACAGAGTTGATTTTGTTCTTTTATTTTTTGTTTGTTCTTTTATCTTTTGTTTACATTTCAGTAGTGGAATTCTTTCGGAATTTGCTACCCCATATTAGCTTGCAAGTGAAGTGTGATTTGGTGGAAGTGTGTTACATGTGCTCTGCCTGCCTATGATTTACACTGCTGTAGATATTTGCTGTCTCTGCCTTATTCTTGCTATTATAACTTCATTTTTTTTTACTATGGAAGGACTATACAAAGAGCTGCTTTGCACTTTGCCCTGTAAGGAATTCTGCTGCTGAAGTCTTTTTAGAAAGTTTACTCTGTGCTCCATCCTTAGGAGCTTTATCTTAAACTGTTAGGTATGCTGCTGTAATTGGCAACAGCTGTTGCTGAGAATTGTGGAGGATAGACAGTTTCTGAGATAATCAGTAACTAGTCCATTTGAGGCTTTGTTGATTAGCGAGTGTATGAGAATTTTGGATCAGGAGTCAGTGATGACTGCAGAGTGCAAATGTGGTATGGTATGTGAATAGTTTGCCTTAGCCTCTATGCCATTCTGGAGTAAATGCAATACAGGTTTTGGGTGTTCTAAGCCCAGTAAGCTGCCCAAGGCAGCACACTCAAGGCAGCCCATTAAGGTAGCCCATAGAAGTACAGGTATTTGGCTGTGTTGTACTGTAGGAGAAAGAGGGCTGTGAAATATGATGTGAAGGAGTTGTTTGCCTGTGTTTGACTGCTGTATTAATGAGCCTTCAAATCTTTTTTTTTTTTTTTTACATCAGAAAGAGTAAGCATAATTGTTCCCATTTCCAGTTTTTGAAAGTTGGCATTGAATTGTGTTTTGCTTGATAATGTTTTTAGTTAACCATGTTAACTAAAACCAGGTTATTTTTTTTTTTATTTCCTGATAATTCAGCTTCTGAGATTGAATACTCTCTAAAAAGAACTCAATACAGAGTTGAAGTTTCTATCATATTAGGTAGCGTTATAATCTGATAAATTGTATTATTTTTATTTATGTTAAATACAAAAAGGAGTGATTTGAATTTTATCTGTATCTGTGTGTGAGATGGTCGTTGAGGAGACATGGTTAACTCTATTTATATTCTGAGAGCTGGCATTAGACACGAGAGAGCCAAACTGAACATTTCTCCAGACTGCATCCAAACCTTGGAGAGGAACATGCAACAGTTGGCAGTCCACAAGGATAAAGGTCAAGGAATTACTAAACAAAACAGAAGTAGCTGTTTTGCCTGTGTTAATGGCTAGATGTCTATTTCTAAAAAGACTGGAGCCATATCACAATCTGAAGTCTAGTTGGAAATAATTTGAAAATAATAGGAAGAATCACATCACTGATGTTGAACTGAATGTGGTGCAAGAGAGTCATCATTCCAGTATCTTGTGCTGTATTTTTTGATAAAACTTTATATTTACCTATGTACTATTTAAGTTGAGGTGCTTTTAGTTCCATTAATGGGTTAGCAAATCTGTATTTTAGTTTTATTAAAGAACGTTATTACGACATTGCTAATTAATCTAGTGCAAGTATGCAAAATTCATGTGGTTTACTTAAGTTGACTTTTCTGCACTACTATATCATGTGGTGCTGCTTTGGAGTGGAGATCATCACTGTCTTGATATATTCACGTTTGCTTCACCTCGAATGTATTACAGCATCAGTTTTTGTCTGAATGGATACTTTTTTTTTTAGCTGAACTTCTCATTGGCTAAGCTTTTTTCAAAAGTATATCAAGACATTGAGAATCTACCATTTACTTCTCTGGATGACTTGTTTCAGTGATTCATCTTTTCCACTATTTAAAAATAAGGCATGCAATTATTGTTTGAATACATTTGAATGCATCTGTCTTTCACTGGTTCTTGTTGTTATGTCTGAATTCTCTTTCACATCAGACTGCCTTAAAAACTTTATTTGTCCCTTTGACACAGTTGTCTCTCCTAGCGTCAGTTCCTAGCGTTTAAAGATAGAGGTAGCTTTTAAAATACATAGATTGAAATCTATGATCAACAGATCACAGATTTACTGGGCTGACAGCCCTAGGACTCTTGGAGAAGTTTAACCAGTATGCTGATGTAAAGTGTTTGTCTCACCATGTTTTTTAACATCTGATCTGGAACATCTGTTTAACAAATGAGTTGGAAGGAAAATCAATATAATGTGATACAATTACACCATTTTGAATATTTCCAACTATAGAGTGAAAGTGTTTATTGGCTATTTTTGATCTTTGCGTATGATTTTTAACCCTTCTGCCACCTTTGCCTAGCCACACGCAAAAAAAAAAAACATCAGTATTCAAACATCTGGGGTGAATTTTAACCCAATTTGTCCTCTTTGTTAGTTGTAAAACTGGCTGACTGCAGATAAAAGATATGTTAAGGATGGCTTCCATTTGCACGTGTTCCGGTTCGGATTTTTCTTCCCAGTCAGTTATGTTCCTAACTTTTTTCCGCTTCAGAAATGTAGAAACCTCAGGAATGTGAGAGTGTGCTGCATGATAAGTTTATGTTTGTTTCAGCGATCTCTGGCTGTGTAATCAGATCATGATCAAGTGGTTCTTAGGCTATCCGCAGTTCCTTGTCCAGTGATTCGTTTGAGCTGTTATAATGGGCTGTATGGTAATTTCTCTGTGCCCATTACAATAGTGTTAGAAAACTGTTGCTAATAGTTTTTTAGAAACTGATATTTTCACTCTTGGCTGCTTAGGATCCTGGGATATTTGGTTTCATTCAGTTTGACATCTCTTTCAGCAAATCATAGGTATACACTTATGAAAAAAAATCTTCCTGTTATCTA